ATTAATTTACAATTATATACTCTTTCGCTACTTTGACATTCAACAATGTCAAATGAAATCATCTTTGCTAGACTATATTTTAGAATGGATGCCTTTTGAGCAAATTTAACTGAAGGTGGATTTATACATGCGGTATTGATGATTACAATGAAAATAAAAAGGAATTTGGTTATTTTGGAAGGCAAAAAAATATAGTATTAAATGGTTTAAAAGTAATCCAGGAAAAGGCTTTTTTGATGAGAATTCTGTGGGAAATCATGTGATTTTAATAATTTTCATAAGCCATTTAAAAACTTGCAAAGTTAAAAAGTAGTTTTCAAATTACATATTATTCTTAAATCTTGAAATAAAATTGTTTTTTTAATCCCTTTACCGTCTTTGCCAATAAGGAGTTCATTCACAAGGTAAGCGGTATTACTGCATTAGACTAAATTCTATAAAAATAGCTTGATCGTGTTCCAATTTAAAAATACTAGTGCGTTAGTATTGACCATCGACTAGATGAGTTGAAGGATGATGGTAGTATATAGAAAACAATAACAAGATAATATATCACATATTCTTTGTGGGAGATATCTTAATCCTTGTTTTCTTTTGCACCTTGCTTGGGATCTCTGGAGCTGTTTTTGGGGAAAAAAATTATAATTGAGCCTCTTACTTCCATGATACCTTTGTTGCCTATTCTATGCCACCATGATCACCTCATAAGCATCCTAATCATGTTTGATGCATTAAAAGCTGGGTTGGCTGAACTAAAACTTATTATGACTCAGTGGGACCAGACCAATTGGATATTGAACAACAGTCTCATTTTCCTTATCCACACTCCTTCAAAAGCTGTGATAATAAAGATTACCAATTTATTTATAAAAAGCAATTGCATGAGACAAAACTTTTTTTTCTATTAGAAGAGGTACAACAAGACAATGCAGAAAATAAAATACCCCAACAGTGGGTTGTCAAATTCATGCAAAATAATTATGGTAAAGAAGTTCATGAATATTGTTATCAAAAAAACTGGCACCAAGATTATTTTCTGTTCTATTAATAATAATAACAACTCCAAATTTTTTCTAGATGAATATATATAAGAATCTATTGTATGTCAAATGTTGTAGGAATAGCTTGCATGCTTGAAGATATTTTTTCTACATAAATCCCAACATTGATTACTTGATGTGTCTGAGTAGATTGTTATAGAATAACTTGTATTCTAGACAAAAATTTTTTTATTTAATAACCCAGGTGATGAGAAACTGTAATAGGCTTCTCATGCCAACTTAGTCCCAATATTCTTAAAACGAGTAAAATTTCAAGCTATATGAATCTTACAAGTAATAATTACATAATTCATTTTTATTATTGCATTATCAATATTTATTATAATTATCGTACATTAATGGAAAATAAAAGTATAATTGTAGACCTTTTATTACTATCAATCAAGAAACATGTGTTATTAACAGTTTCAAAAATAACAAAATTGACGAAAAATCTTCTGAGAAAGAAAAAAAATCTGTGCTATTTGCCAAGCTCAACCAAACAAAGAGCAGCTCGAAATGTTAATAAACTTGGAATTAACATCTCCAAAGTAGTGTAAAAGAATCTTGAGTTGAAGAAAAGACATTTATATTAATACAATAATCTTGTAAATTTATCTTATCTTTTATCTTCTGCCATTTACACATATAACAACAATAATAAAATACCAGTTATAAAACAAAATTCTACATAAATTTCAAGGCAGTGTAACTAAATACCCAAGACTAATCAGGGATTAGTGAAAAGATTTATTGTTGGGAACGAACTAAATCTATAACAGTAAATTCATACTTAGGAACAATGATTCAAGATTAGAATAATTTTCGCATCTAATTGAAATAAATAACTGCATACATTACTATTACTAAGAATTTTTGGAAATAAATCACCATTCATTTGCAATGCAATGTCACATAATCTATAATGACAACAAATTTTTGATGATATTTATATTCGATACATAAAAAAAAAATTTCATTTGATGTTTATTATTCAATTTAGTTTAAAGGAAGAGGATAAGACAACAAAGGTGAATATGTAGTTGCGAGTATGAAGAAAAGAGATAATGACAATTTGATAAATTATATGTGGACCTGGACACTTTACCGACAATCAAGTAAGGTTTCTAGCCCAAACTGTTTCTCAAAGCTCGAACTATTTTGGCAATTTGGGTTTTCAACATTTTTTATATTCAAAATCATTACTTTTTTTTTCATAAAAATTCAAGAAATTATGTCTAAAAGTATTCAAATGCAAGAGAAAAGATTAATTATTTTATTTATTTAAAAATTAGAAATAGATTCATCACAATTATATAATAAATAAATTAAATGTTAATAACTAGAGTAATGATGAGTGGCAGACGATAACCACTACCACCATCCTTATTCTTAAAACACTTACCCAGTGATGTTTTCTTGATCATTTTCTTGTCTTCTTTTATTGTCATTGCTTTTATTTGGCATTTTTAAAAAATATTTTTAAAAAAGAAGTTTGTTATTTGATTGGTTTTTTTTTTTGGAAAAACAAAAAACAATTTATTTTTTGACAGAGTCCAAGGTTAGGGTGTCCAGGATTATACTTTTTTTTTTTACAAATTATTGGGGTGTGCGACATTCTAAGAAAATCAAAACTAATTAATGTCATATATTGATTGGTATATGTAAATTTTTTTTAATGATCTGCATACATATATAATTTCCGAAATTTGCATGAAACATAATAAAATGTGCAGTTTTCAAATTGTTATTTCTTCCCCGATTTCAACGATACAGGTATCAAATTTATATGAAAAGATAGTAAATAAATACTATTTTAATAACTCAGAGAGCTATTTGCGTTTTAAAAGGTTCAATATTGTAAAATATCCATTCGAAATTTCCTTTATTGCAGTACCTTTTGCTCTATTACAACTTTAAAAAAAATATAGAAAATTAAAATATTCTCTCTGTATGAGTATTCTACAGATGGTTTTCAATCGAAGCAATTTAATTTTTTTGCAGATGGACAAGTTTTGCACAAGAAATAAGAGCTTAAAGTTTCCGAAATTTGCAAGAAACATAAATAAAAAACTTTTGTCACACAGAAAAAAAGGGGGTTACCATAAAAAAATCCGCACATATAGATTTATCTTATTGACATTAATTAGATTTGTCAATCAACCAATATCGAATACCCCAATGTGAAGTCCTATTTTTTGAAAAATTTTATTACATTTTTGAAAGAATTACAAAATTGCTATTTTGAAATTTGGCTGCATGGCGCAGCAATAAGAGGTCTTTAGGCTGAGCCAACCATACTAAAAAGGTAATGTGAAGTTCAACATATGTTACAAATTCTATAAGTAAAGTTACGAATTCTTGTCCTCTACTATATGTTTTTGTTAAATTAAGGAAAACTAAATGAACAGTCTTCAGTTAACCTTAATAGCTATTGATATATAAAAAATTAGAATTTTATAAGAAGACAAGGTTGTACTAATAATATTTCATTTTTATATTATATATGTATGCATGTATGTATAGTAATAAATAGAAATGAGACTACCTTGGCATGAATCATTACTAGCTTTTAACATCAATTACAAACTCTTTACATGAGCAAACAATTTAATAAGAAATATTTTTTTGGAATGGTGGTACATTCAAGTAGTTATTCTCCATTATTTACATTTGTAATGTATTATTAATTTTTTAATTATCAATTTATCCAACAATAAAATTAGATTGGTAATTTATGGTTGAAGGTTGAGAATACCACCACTCACTTGTTGGCTTTCATTCATTAATTCATTCGCCTAAGCTCAAAATCCTGTAAAAAAGCTTGGACATATCAAATATTTATATGTGATTTGTAAAATGTAAAAATAAGAGAAGTATTACTATTACTTTATTATTAATTTGTCAATTGTATATAAAATTACTTATTAATTATTCTG